GAAGATAAATCCGCCGGAACTGATGAGTCGGCTGCAGCACCCGCAGCTGACGGATACAGGGTTATGACGGCTCGCAACTCAGCCTCTGTCTCAATTTTCCTTCTGCTCTTATCTGGAAGGCTCACAATAATCCTGCCATCGGCAGACCAGCAGTTCTTTATGCCGAAATGTTTTCTTGCAGAAACAAATAAAGTGTGTCGGAGCCTAGTTAAAAATTCGGAAATAGTGACTCCAGAACCTTTGAGTGCAGTCTTATTCTCCCAGATCAGGCGTCGGTCCTCATAGTCCCTGAATCGGACAAGAACAGGACGAATTTTGCTGCCTAGGGAGCCAAGTCTATGGCAAACACGCAACCTATCCTTAGTGATCTCAGGCAACTTAAGCTTTTCATCGATGAACTGCACAACCCCGGCTAAATCGTCCTTGTCACTCTCTGGCAAACCATGAATGAGGAGAACTTTTCGTCTCATTGCCATTTCATGCCTATCTTGGTTTATGCAAAGTAGATCTAGTTGTGACTTAATAGATTTTAGAGCCTGCCACATGAAAGCTTTAAAGTCCGAGAACTCACCTGCCAACATATTGAGATCGGGGCTCGCAGTGGCAGATCCTGTGGTAGCTTTTTGCAGTTTTATTTCGTACTGGTGTAAACGTGACTCGAACAGTTTCTCTAAGCTTTTCATGTTCTCAGCAAGATTCTGGTCCATAGTGCAGTGGTGTGAATAAAATAAAAAGTGTAGCAGTGGAAAAACAGTTAAATATAATATAACAGCAGCTGTGTAGAAGCTCCGCAGGTACTTAATCCATTAAATTATAGATAGAAACTAATTAATAAAAATTAAATAAATAAAAATTCAAGAGCTCAAAAACAGATGACTTTATCTCTCGACTACCCACGACGAAAAGTCAATAATTTCATAATGAATTTTTGAAGTAAATGGGTTGGCGATTTTCTGTCTGTAGATCCTTAGATATTTATAAGTCGATCCTATAGAACCCATTACCTACTTAATTTAACTAAGAGCTTTTAGTTGATTAAGTTTCTGATTTAGCTATGATTTGTGTCACAATATTTATTACATTGCGACTGTAAATTATGATTCTTTTATTGTATTTTCATATAACATTTAAAAACATAGGTATTTAAGTTTTTAAAAATATTATTAACAAGCGACCGCCCGCAACTTCCTCCGCGTTCACTTTAGTTTTATCAGAATCCCATAGGTACGTGTCATTTTTACGGGATAAAAAGTATCCTTTGTCTTAATCCAGGTCATATACTGTAAGCGTACCAATTTCAAATACGTTCAGTAGTTTATGCGTGATTGAGTAACAAACATACAAACTTTCACATTGATAACATTATTAGGATAAGACTAATGACTATGATTAAGATCAAACAGAAGAACCTAATACTGACTGAATACCTGCTGACAAGATGTTCAAGAAAATACCAATAAATATTTTAAAAGACATTATATTTCAATCCTTTGAGTATAAATTTTCAGTACTGACGGCAGTTAATATTTTAAAAACAAATTACATCATCTATCATAGGAAGTCTTTCGGATAAGATTATAACGGTTTTCCTATAAAAATAGCAATGACTTTGCCAGTCATGCTCGGTCGCCATCCCTTCTAGATAAGCTGCAAGAAAGTGCCTAAAACAAAATTCAGGAAACAGTGCTAACCGTCACAAAAAAGTGTAACTAATCAGTCAAGGTTTGCGCTCCGTTACTAACGAGGTCAAATTAGTAACGACACAGTGATTTATATGTATCAATGTAAGGTACTCTTTTTTAACTCGTACTTTGTTAAGCTTTTGTGGTTCATAAATAAAGTGTATCTTCAATACTAAAATATTTGCAGCTATTACATTTTTTTCTATTGAAATTGATATAACTTATTCCATAAACCAAAAAAACTACTTATTTTGTAAGAACATACTACTCTTATTCAGCAAAATTTAGTTATGCCGTAAAATTTTCAGTTTATGTAATTATTTATCTCATTGCAAAAAATACAAAGATATTAGAACTTATTATCCGATATTTAAACATAACAATACTGTAGGTATTTACGTCTATCCATTCTGTAATTGACTAGTGATAGGGACTTTCAAAAACACCAGAAGTTTTTGCATGGATGCATCTTGAAGAGTATAAATTTTCAGTACTTTGAATTATTACAGATTTTGAATTATAGAAAAAATCTGAACCGAAATTTAAAATAAGGAACTGAGTCAAGTTCAAATCAGTCTTATTAAATATTTTATGCTAACACCAGCAAAGCGGTGTCATTTTTATCCATCTACTTCTTTAGACGGTTTTTTTGTTATTGAACTTATATGATATTGTTTGTGTCCTTAAGAGCGAACGCGAGCTGAGAGACATTTGAGAAATAGGCATTTGAAAAAGCTATTGCTGTCACGCATTGTTGTTTTTTTTTTACACTCACACCAATAAGCCTAGCCCCAAAGTAAGCACTGTAAGGCTTGTGTTATGGGATACTAGGGTAACGGATAGAATACATATACTATACATACATAAGCATATTTATATAGAAATACACATTAAATATCCATGACTGGAGTATAAATCTGCCCTCACCGGGATTCGAACCCGGGACCTCTCGAGCCGGCGACACCATGAAACCCGGCATACAAACTCTCGGCCACGGAGGTCGTCAATTACCGTGCGTTAGAGACAGTACACTAGTTAATGCTGAAAATTGCAAATTTCGAGGTTTCGCTCTCGACGATTTTCTCCTCGAAAATTCGATATATGTTAAATAAATTTAACACAAAGAATATTAAGTAGCTATACTATGCCTCTAGGTTTTGTTTTTTTGTAATTGCTTATTAAATCTTAACACTAGACGTCTTCAGTGGTGATAAAAATTTGTTTATTTTTGGCCTTTTTCGAGGTCGCCCATTTCTTCGAAACACAAGTTATCGAAAAAATTAAGACATAGGAGTATAAAATGAGTAAAAATATATTTTATGTATGAAAATCAATTCTTTAGTGATAAATACCAAGGAGGAATCAGTCGAGAACGTCTGTATGGAAAAAAACATTGCCCGCCGCTGAGTACACTGTTCATTAGGTTTCTTTCATTGATCTCATGAGGCACCCAAATATCGAGATTTTTTGTGTACCCAGCTACGAAAATGCCGACCTGCTCCACTTTTTAAAAAATTGCATCCATTTTATTCGTAACAGAGAGACCAGAGCGAAGTTCATCTATAAAATCAAAATTTCCGGATTTAAAACGCTTAAATCAAATTTGTGCTACTCTCACAGACACTGCATTAGGTCCATAAACATCACAACATTTTTTCGCGGCTTGCGTTGAATTTTTATCTTTGCTGTAGTCAAATTTCAAAATGTATTGTATTTCTTCATTAGATTCACTCATCTTGACAGTAAGAAAAACAAATGAAAATCACACATTTTTCAAATATGAATTTGGAATTATCTTCTTTAAAATTTTAACTTTTTCATGATACGAAAACCAGCCACACACAAATAGTACAGCCAAAGAGATTTAATTACAAGTTCATACATACTATAATGCGAAAAGACTTTTTCTCCAACCTATCATTATACTTTGGTGTAAACGAGGGGTTAGACTGGTGTATGAAGGGATTTAAAACTATAGGTCAAGCAAAATATAAAAAAAAAATACTTCTTATACAATTATATAGGTCCCCTTCATTTTATTAATTCATTATAATTTGTTGTTATAGTGACAAAAGAAACAGACATTCTGTAAAATCTGTCAATTCTTGATGAAAATTACCTGGAAGTCAATTTTTTATATAGACATCACAAATACTTTAAGTTTTGAAAACAGAATGGAACCAGAATTAATTGTTTAAGTTTAATTTATCTCGCTGGATGTTAATTTATTCGCGTAGTTTTTTTCATAAAAAGGCTTCTTTTTATAAAAGCTCTGAAGTTTTTTTCTTCTAAGATAGTCTACGTACTACTGCGGATAAAAACTTTACGGTTGACAAAAAAGGCGCGCTTCAAGATAAGTTTTTTTTTCTAATGGTGAAAGGTAAAGGGTAGCTTTCACTTTCTGTTTTTGTGTGAAACATAAGGTTAAATCTAATTATTTAGAGCGTTATATCGTGAGATACTAATTAGGAGAGAGGAGTAATGAGCCTGATCAGATTTCCTATACACAACAAAAAGACAATGAAAGGTCCAAACATACAATTTTTTATCATAATTATTACCTAATGTCGATTTCAAAGTAGGTAACTAAGCTTATTCGTGTTCTAGAAATAAAAAAAACTTAGACTTTATTAGGTTTGACGTGTCGAAAAGTCCTATTTTTTTATTTTTTCTCAACCTGGTACAGAACTCCAGAGGTGACATGACATGATAATAACTAATAAAGTGGTAATGAAGTAGTAACAGCTCCGATTGTCAATCTGTGGCGAAGGCAAACTTTGTCATCTTGTGGATTTGAATATTGCCTTTATTAAATCCAATCCTTTAAAGAAAGTAATCCAAGCTAATAATACAGATTTACAAACATATAATAAAGTAATTTCCGTTGTCTAAAAAGCATAACTACACCTCAAATGACATCATATTATTCGCATTGATCAGGCCTATCTATGTTGTTGTCCGGAAACCATAACAAATGCTGTTGTAAGTTCATTAACATATTGAATAGCATGTACTAGGAACTTTCCAATATCACTTCTGGGCGGTTGTAGCGTTAATATTAGGTCCTGATTTCCTTATAGCGCTTTATAGCTTCAATTCCGCTGTAGATTTACGAACCGATGACGTAGCTTAGATATTCTTGATCAGTGCTTGCAACAGCCTAAATTGAATACATTATTTTGTGTTTGAATGATTAATGATTGCACAAATTTAGGTTCTTTGGCTTAAAAGATACTACATATCTATATACGTATGTAAGGAAAGCCATTACCCCAGCAGTGAGGACATTAATATGCTCATAATTAAAGAAATACTCACCTAGAACAAAGCACGCGGTGTAAACACCCCCTCCGAACGCAGGCTCCAGGAATTCGAACACAACGAACATGTTATAGTTTGCGGAGAGCGCGCGAATAAGGCCGAACACGCCGTTGGCGACGGCAGCGAACACGACCGCGAGTCGCCGCCCGAACTTATCGGAGATTATGCCGGTGAGAGGGATGGAGATGAAGAAACCAGCGTTGTGCACTGTGCCGACCAGCGACCGCTTCCAGTCTTGGCAGGCGAGGTTAAACTGAAAACAGAAAAATAAAATCTTTTGAGATAAGCGTTTGATGAGCTTGATACACGTAGCATCACAGATGGATTTCAACTCAAGATTAAAAACCATAATGATTTTAGGCGCCACCTTGTGCAAGTAAATTTGTTCTTCTATATTTTTTATATCTCTTATTCTATATATTATCTTCTATATTTATTATAACTTTAGACTTCTGCCAACAGTAGATATTTTCAATAGATATCCCTACTTTCGATATTAACTCGAAGGCGATATAATATCTACGCCGCGAGAATTGGGGCCCTGGTCCGTACATTTTTTCCATACTTCACAGTTTTGCGTTTAATATATCTAATATGGTGTTACGGAGTTTTCCTGCTCGAAAACAACAACCAAAATACTCTATTTATATTAATATTAGTGGCTCGCCCTCATTTCGCTTCGGTGTTTAGCAGTAATGTAGGTAGACTATAGTTTTTGTTCACAGGCTTGTATTATCTTCTTCTTCTTCCAACGGGCGTTTCCACAACTCGACGTCCTTGTGGCGCCTGTTTTGCGTTAGGAGGGTGTATAGCCGGAATCACTCCAGCCAGCCCAGCTCCATGAGGAACGCCCCCAGGGCCTTCACATTGGTGACTGCCTCTTGAAGGTTTCCCGGTGAGTCGAGGTATTTCGCCCGGAAGGCTTGTATTATACACAATGAATTTCTTTATATAATTCTTTATGCAAATTTTGTTGCGTACTTTAGGACCCGTTGTACCGAATGCACCATTTTTTGGTTGAACGCGCAAATCTCCGGAAGTAATGGTCCGATTTGAAAAAAACTTTTTGTGTTACATAGTACATTTATTGAGGAAGGCTTAAGGCTTTATTACATCACGCTGCAACTAGTAGAAAAAAAATGTTGCAAAAAAGTGGTAAATATATTCCTATGGCCCAATAGGAAATACAGTAACATAGGCAACTAGGGATCCCTTTACTGCGACACGATATGCACTTGGCCGGTTTTTAAATCTAATAGGTTAAAAAATTTTTTAGCTTTTTTTAAACGGTATATAACAAACTACCGAGAAAATCGCATTAAATGCTCCTTTCTGGGAATCTGGGAATAACCCATCGATGTGAAGATGGTGGCAATAACCTATGGTTATAATTACTCTTTAGGTAAATTATTAAATATTTATTCGGGATTCTTTTTGTTACTTCTATTCGTCCAATGATTGTTTTTAATAGTTGCTTTCGTAAGTCAGTTTATTTTTACGATTCTTCAATAATGGCTATAGATTACTCCTGCTTAAACATATTTTATCTCATGTTAAGTTTTGTTTATACTGCTGGTTATTATTCAATTTCTTCACATTTGAAAGATCTTCAATTAAATGATAGAAACGAAAATTTTGCCTCACTAGGTACTCTAGTAAATATTTTTAATTTTCGGTTAGGGTTGCGGATTGAGCAAACTTTTACACCGTAAATATAACAGTAAATAATAAATTTAGGCAGAAACATATCGCTTTATCATAGCATTATGTGATGAAGTATCTCAAAATTAACTTAATTATTTATTTCGATTTCTCAGGATAGAAATCTAATTTAGTTTAATTAGTCTTGTAATTGCACACCCCCTCTTTAATTAAAATTCATCTCTCCATCCTATGGTTCTCTGGAAGAAATGGCTACATAGCCATAAGACCGCCAATTGTCCACCTATTTAAATTAATGTCCAAACTTTGTACTTTATAATCTGGTGTGTTCAATAAAGTATTATCTATCTATCTATCTAATTCATCTTTAATTACTCTAAAAAGACCATACTCCATAACCTTGTTTTGAATAGACCGAGAACTAAGCAGAAAGTATTGCAGTTCCATCGATTTGAATGCAAATTTCTGATGCTATTACTCATTCTAGAATACTAGTGCGTTTCATTTTTCACCAGAAACCGCTCATGAAATCACAACTCAATTTCACGTTTACGAAAATGAAAATTATGTTATCGTTAGTTGTAAATGAGGCGGCACACTGTTAGTATTCCTAGGCATTTTTTAAAGTTTCACGCAATAATCAGTGGAATGTCAACCGTCAAATTAAAAGAGAATTAAGAAAAGTGAGTGGAAAGAGGAGGCAACCAGATCAAGTGGCATTTCACCTATGAGATGGACTGACTAAATTAAATTAGCAATTGGAGGCCCAATCAATGATTGCACCAGACAGTCCACAAATAGAGCTAGGTGACGGGAAATCGAAATCGACCACTCTGACAAGAATGAACGAGCGAGAAGACGTCATATGTCGTAGATGTAGCCGGAACAAAAATTTCAACCTTTTATGGCAGACTAACCGCAGCCAAGGAAGGGTTGTTCCATCCAGACGCGATCCAGACCGTTTACGCACTGAGGAGTCGATTTTACTGGTTATCGACCTTAGACTAACCAAAGGTCGAGGTGTGCATACCACAAAGGGTTAAGGATTGTTATTGATAGGGTTGAAAATATGTGCAGTAATTGGGATGACGAATTAGAAATTCATTTTCAGCGATAGATGGATTTAATTTTGTAGTAAGCCTTAACCTTAGCGCATTCATTCAACACACACGGTGTTTATCTTAAAAACGTGACTTCGGGCGTATAATGTGAAATGAATTTTCATTACAAAGATTTTTATTTGATGGATTTGGAAAAACTGACTCACTGTGAAATCGGAATTCACGGGTGATCCGCATTTATATAGGGCAATATTATAGTTTTCTTGTTAAAATGTTTGGTCATATATACTTAATATATCAATACGATTTGAACGGGAATTGCGTATGTGACTGGAGTCCCGGGAAGGACATAAGATATTTTTCATAGCATCTTAGAAATCATCCTTAAAAGGGGTGAAAAGGGGAAACCAAAATAACCATGCAGACTAAGTCGATCATAAGCAAATGGAGTAAAACTTAATGCGGTAGATACTTGAATACTCACAACTTTAACGGAAAGAATTTTATGAAACTATGGGCTATGGGTTAATTTTTTCCGTGCGTGTTGTCTCTTGAAACTTGAAAGATCCAGTTCAAATATATAAAGGTAGGTAAATGAATATCAATTAAGGTATCGCGAAGGTATTCAATCACTATCATTGTTAAGCATAGGACGAGAGATCAGAGGGATGGCTAAACGCCATCTACATTATGGTAGATACTAGATATTCCACGAGCCCGTACTAGGCGCAGTTTAGTTATGAACTTCATTGCCAGTTTTTCTTCTGATACATTAAAATCTTGTTCTATTCAAATTGCAGGTGAAAAGGTTCATCCTACGCAAGCGTGTTCCGTTTTATACCGTGTCATTGCTTTCCAACAAGCGCGATTCGAGATACATTCGCAAGTCTAAATAGGCTTTATATTATTTAAAAATGTATTTTCCTAAAATAAAAAATATTTGTTTTACAATGAGTTCAACTAAGCTATTGTCCTATTGTGTGACGATATCGAACTATCAATACCTATGATATCTCATACACGTAACTTAGAATAATCTTAGAAAATCACCATTACCAATACATAAGCCATTTCACGTTGCCATGTTTACAATACAACATGCTTCTTAAGGGCTCATTTGAAAAAATGCTGAATTTTTCGCTGTAAAAAGCAAAAAGCCTGTGTGCGTTGAGAAAACTCAATTTTCGAAGAATTGCCAACAATATTTATTATGTTTTCGGAACAAATGTCCTTGTCGGACGGTATGCCGGATGGGGGATTGGCAAAAAAAATTTTTTTTGTTTGGGTAAAAAATGTTAAACTCGCGTCATCTTAAACTTGTGGCCTAATCGAATCATGACACACAATAAAATTGGAAAGTTTGTTGACTTTCAATATATTGGACGAAACATAGTAATATTTTATTTTATCGTATTATAATAATAAGTCTCTATCTAGGACGTCCACGTGGCAGCTTTATTTGCGAAGAAAATGCATTTTTTTACAATAGATGTCGCTAAGTGCGCTTAAACGTGATTCATGTAAGTTGATTTTTCTGAGAGATAAACTTTTTAATGTAATATAAATTGTCATGTTTGTGTCCGATAACGCAATAAATGAATATTGTATTCTAACACATATATGATAGTACTTTCATACTGATAAATAAAGCAATTCGTGCAAAATTATTCCCTAACCATTCCAAAATATCAAAAATGCACAACGTCAATATTCAAGTTTTCACTTCTGCCGGCACTCCCGGAGTGCAACCCGTCGTTTTTTTTTCCGTCACAACCTAGCTAGGCATGTGGGCGGCTAGGTGGATGACTACTGACAGCGGTAGCTGTGGACTTGGTTCAAAGTTTTGTTGCATAGTCCATATATATACTAGCGTAAATATCGTTGCGGTTACATTGACTCGGACAATCTTTAGTTTAGAGCCTTGCAAGTCCTTAGAGCCAATGTGCCGCATATTGCCCCGAACTGTCCAACTTAAGCACTTCCTGTTAATCTCAAATAATATATATGTTTCATCTAAAGTTGGAATTTGATATTTGACTGATTTTCACAAACTTCGACTACAATCAATCCGAAATATAATTTATACCAAATTAAATCTAGCTGTTTATTGCTTCATCATCATCATCATCAGCTCATTAATGTCCCCACTGCTGGGGCACAGGCTTTCCTTACGGATGTAATAGGGAGATTGGGCCATAAGTCGCCACGCGGGCCCAGTGAGGATTGGTGTGTGGTAAATTAAATATTTTTATCTTAGTTCTATATCCATACCATAAGCTTTTAAGATATAATTTACTGCAAGCTGTCGAATTATCATCAAAACATATATATCATGAGATTAGCAGGAAGTTCTTAAGTTAAACCGTTCGAGGTAATATACGGCACATTGTCTCTGGACATGCATGACTCTAAACTAAAGAGTGTAAGGAAAGTGTTGAAATCAACGTAACCGCAACGATATTTTACGCTAGTAAGACAATCCGATAACAGTGCGCGTACAGGGAATGCACGTGTTCTACCACGAGTGTGG